TAGCTATCGATCTAGCGCTCCCAGCGTTTCACTAGCGTTTGCAGCGGCAGGGCTAGAGAGTATAGAAGAGTAGAGAGTACAAAATACTCTCCTACTCTTCTATACTCTCTAGCCCCGCCGCTGCAAACGCTAGCGGGGCTAGAGAGTATAGAAGAGTAGGAGTACAAAATACTCTCCTACTCTTCTATACTCTCTAGCCCCGCTAGCGTTTGCCAGCGGCTAGAGAGTATAGAAGAGTAGGAGAGTACAAAATACTCTCCTACTCTTCTATACTCTCTAGCCCCGCCGCTGCAAACGCTAGTGAAACGCTCGTGAAACGCTGGAAGCGCTACGCTACGCTGCCGCAAAGTATAAACGCAGCCTAAGACACACCCTTCGTTGAAAGATGGTGAGTTGTTTGGCTCAACTACTGATGACAATGTAGTAAGTGATTCACTAGTGAAGAAGAAAAAATTAAGAAGAAACCATCCTAAATACCCTGTATAACTCTATTCTGAACCGTGCTTATGCATGCGTAAGGTGAAGAAAGGGCGAACGGGTTTTCACTAGTTGGTAGCAATTTTTCCTACTTATCATCTCGCTATCACCATTCGAAATGGAGAGTGCTAGTAGGAAACAACCAGGCTAGAAAGCCTTCAGAAATGAAATTCAGGCGCTTGCTGGCTAGTGGTCGGGCGCTGACCTCGTTGCGAGCGGGTAGCGCTTTCCTGACATGCTTTTGTGCTGAAAAAATAGCCCCACACTCTTGCGGACAGGCCTACCATGTCTCCAAAGAAGGCGTCCGAAGATCAAGTGAACGCGCAGCGTGGCTTTAAATATCTCATGCGCTCTACTGCCTTGGCATGTTGTAGGATACAAGATTAAATTTATAAGGTTTTGTTGCTTTACAGGGGTGCGTGTACACTGTTTTACAAAGTGGACTAGTACATACAGGAGTTTACAGAATGCCCCCGTTCCACATTATGGGCAAGCGCCACAGGAGCCAGTATCAAATTCCAAATCTTAGGTACACAATGATGTGTAAAACGTGGCCACTGTTCAGGTAAAATGTAGTGAATGTGATGAAATGGCGTATTCACGGCCGTTATTGTTGCGACATATGACGCAGGTTCATGGAATTGTAGCTCCATTGATCCATAAAACGTTTTCTGACCGCGAAAAACTTCAGGTATGATTTTTCTCGTCGGATACACCTGGAGGCTCTTCTGTTTTTTTTAAGATATGGTTGGAACAACTTCGCGAGACACATGCCATAGAATTCGTCGTTTCATCAGGATCCAAGAAGTGGGGTCAAGGTCTACAGGTAGCACTTTATCGCATGTGTCTTATTTATTGCTCCTTTATTTCTTTACTTTGAGTTCACCGCACTGCTCCAGGTTTTCATGCCTTTCACTTCCGTCTTTATAAATTTCCTGTTCCCTATGCTCTTTTTTACCATTTCGCTATCCTTTCTTCTTTCTATTTCTTTCCTTTTGGCATGGTATCTCATCGAGTCCAAAGCCTGATTATCCTCGTTAATTCATGATGCGTCTTACAAGGAAGGATGGTAGGTCGAAGTGGCCATTTGAAATGAAATGTATACCGGCTGGAAGGTCTTCGGACGGGAATTACGAAACCGTCTTCCATATCTGCTGCGGACCTCCCAGAAAGAAGTTACGGAGCTTTTTAGTGGGAGAATACACTACGTATTGGCGGCGTAAGGCTGACAAGATCGTGGCAGCATGGCCGAGTGGGTACGTCGTAGGGCCCACGGATGCGCGGTCGAAGGGTTTGAATCCTTGATGCGCGTGCTCTTTGCATTTTTCGAACGTGGTCATGCCATTTTTTCGAAATAGGTCCTGTGCACTTCAAAGCTATACACTTCTCCGCTGATGATGTCGTGACGTAATGATTTCTGAACTGATGGAGATCACTGCGAAACAGAACATTTCATAGGAGATCACCTTCTGGGCACCATTGAACTATTCCTGCCCCAGAAACTCAAAAATTTTTTTCGCTGAAGCGTTGCCTAGAGATGTAATTCAACACGCTGATCGCGAATATAACATCCGTTTCAACCGCTGGCGTCATTTGGTGCCACTACGCGCCAATTCAGCGCTATATTGGCGCATAATGGCGCCAGCGCTTGAAACCAGTGTGATATTCGTAATCAGGACCTCAATTGACCCCATAAGCAAGCTTCATGAACTTTGGTGGAAAAAAGTGGTGCGCGCCAAACTGGCGCATAATGGCGCCAAATGACGCCAGCGGTTGAAAAGGATGTTATATTCGTGATCAGCGCATTGAATTACATCTATAGGCAACGTTTCAGCGAAAAAAATTTTTTTGAGTTTTTTGGGGTAGGGTAGGGTTAGCTCAATAGTGCCCACTTTCTGGCTGTTGTCTTCTTCTCTCTTTGATTTGAAAAGCATACACAACAAAAGTGCATTCCAAAAGGAGATTTTGCTTTCAAATGACTTTATTCTCCAAACGACATGACTGGAAAACGAATCCGAACGCACGACGCTGTGCACGAAGATGAGTATAACGGGGAAAATACTTCCATATGAAGTGGCGTTGATGTGACAATCATGCTGCTGGAGATCGCGATGGGCAAGAGCTTCATTCACCACTCACATAATGTTGAATTATGCCTATCTCAAAGTGTTTTCGTACCTGCTGGAGGTTTTCGGCTCGTATGACAATCTTTTCAGCTGGAGGTGATCTCCATGAAATCGTTCGCAATGGCTCCATCAGTTCAGAATCATTACGTCGCGACATTATCAGGGACAAGTGTTATGCAAATTAGCTTTGAAGTGCACAGGGACCACTTTCGAAACAATGCAAAAAAGCACACGCATCAAGGATTCAAACCACCCGTGAGCCCTGCAACGTATCCACTCGGCCATGCTGCCACAATCTTGTCAGCCTTACGCCGCCAATATGTAGTGCACTCCCCCTAAAAAGCTCCGTAACTTCTTTCTGGGAGGTCCGCAGCAGATATGGAAGACGGTTTCGTAATTCCCGTCCGAAGACCTTTCAGCCGGTATACATTTCATTTCAAATGGCCACTTCGACCTACCATCCTTCCCTTGTTAGCGCAATACGCCTTTTATTGGAATTCTGGAAAATAATATTCTCAGGTTCACTACCTCACTTGCTCACGGAGTGGAGAGCAGAAGGAGCGTCCCTAACAAGAAATTCAGGCGACCAACACGTCCGTCAATAAAATGCGGAAAGAACTGCATGGCTTATTTGAAGGTAATGAGGATATTAATACCTGAAGACTATTCTCCGACGTGTATTGAATTTCTAGCGTCACGGATCTCTAGCCGCTCATTTAAAGTCGAGTTAAATTAAGTAATGGCTACGAACGCAAGTGGTGGCTATGGAAACTTCAGCAGATTAGCTGATCAAGATCCGACTACGTGAAAGACCTGTTTGATTTACGGGCGAAGTTTCACCTCAGTTAAGCTTCGCAAACTGTGCACCTAAGGCTTCTGAGACCGCATAAGCATGGAGGTGCAATTAAGTTCTGTCCAACGTCAGGTCTCCGCCCACGACAGCATTCCTGTTGGTACGATTTTTGACAGCTCGAGCTGGCCGCGTTGATTAAACGCATTTAATATTGTGCTAAGGAACGAGTTCGAATTCATCTTTTTTGATGTTCCCAAACTTTTGATACCAGTAACAAGCTTGTCTGACCCAGAGGATGTGAAACGCATGGCGGCTAGGCAGAGGCACGGATTCCGGCAGTTGCATCTCTTGGCCGTGCGCGGACCGTAGGTGTTGCCTTTTGTCGTGTCGCGCGCGTCTGCGCTTTAGGAAGATGAGGTGTAGAAAATCTTACGGCAGACCTTTTGTTAAAACCGCGGCGACGTGAACGCTACAACTTTTCTAATGCTTTTTTGTTTATGTTTTTTAAGGAAAAAGGGGTTTCAATATAAATAGCAAATCGCCTGCATATTATAATAATTGCCCAGTCAGAATTCCATTTGCTTCTTTCCGAATTCATCTGTCCGCATTTTCCCTTTCGCAGCGGCACCGATGCCACGCCCCATTAGCTGAATTTAATTAGAACACGGGTTTTTTGGTCGTATGGAAATCGGGACGCCCTAGAAGCGTTCGCCAATTAGGAATGAACCCGATTGCGCCGCCAATCAAATCTAGAGTACGTTTGAAGTTCCAACCCAACTAGCTTCTCTTACCTCTTTGGCAAAAACGATTGCCAGCTTGTACATCAGCTGGCCCGTGCAATCATGTGTATAGGCCATGTAGCAATTCAAGCTGATGGTTACTGCTCGAGTAGTGATGTAGAATGTGTGCCGCATCGAAGGATCATTGACGGCGAAGGCTTGATCCTCTTATCTTACCATTCACCTCTTACAGATGAAGCAGAATCCAACGGTTTCTGAACTGAAAATCGAAGCGTGTCTACATCACAGTGGTCACGAAATCGATGCATCCAAGATTCGCCTTGAAGCGGTAATTTGAGGTCACTTCTGCTCTCATTTATGAAACTCCTATGCTCTGTGATAGGCGTGGAGCTAGATGAACCTAGAGTTGAGGGCTACTTTTGTTTCAGTGGTGTCGAGTTATACAACTTATACGAGAAATGGATGAAGGTTTATTGCAAATCGACTTACAACATATGACACGTATAAGAGGTAAGTTTCTCTATGGCATTCTCCTCAAAGTATTTGAGTGATGTCGGTTTCTTGAACTGTCTCAGTGCGATGCGACACAAAATAAAGTGCAGGGAGGGACAGCAGTGCGAATATGGTGCTAGCAGGGCGGTGCAGCTATCATCCCCCCCCCATTTCCTCTTCCAGTTCAAACTCCCTCTCAACAAACCTGCTCACACCCTCTCTCCCTGCGAGTTCTTCAAAATCACGCTTCTGAGAAAACAAACTATCGCATACAAGCACGATCTTCTCAATCAACTCGATGATACATACTGATGCTGTATAGTACGTTGTGTGTTTATGCCAAGCCAAAAGCGGTGCATGCAGCGCGCGTGGAAAATGGCGACAAAAAACAAAAAATCCCAGAAAAATTTCTCCGCAGCTTCTTGAAATTTCTGCCTATGACGCGACAGGCCCCCCGCCCTCTCCGTGAAAATTGGTCGACGGTAATTACCCTAATGTAATACACGAAAGAACTGAAGGCGTTGGTGTGGATAATTCAATTGTTACTGTGATTCTTTCGTGTGATTGACTAATGTCGCCCCCCGCCTATTAATTTGACGAATCTATGTAAATGTTTTAGAAATTCTTGGCAATAATGGGCGGTTCCGTTTGATGACGGACGAAGGGCTTTGTCAGCAGTTGCCGAAGTGGATAGAACAGGTTTGCTCTCGTGCCGCATTCGAAAACTCTATACTTTAGCCTGTCTAGCTTACCCCCTTCATAAAACCTCGCATTTGTTCATAAACTTTGCTGTTTATGCTTAATTTCATTTGAATTTAATTGCCAAGAGGTTGTTAGGTGGAAGGCTTTGTTGAAGGTGGCCTGACGTTCCTTCCTCAGAGGCCTAAACATGGCTTAAGGTCTAGATGTTGTACCCTCTAAACCGCCAAATTTCTCGAATAGCGTTTTTGACGGAATTTAAGGAGAGCTACCGAGAAATCCGAATGTGAGGAACAAACTTACCAGTCCACCACCGCACGAGCGAAACGACGCCACTCGCGTTTAATTGTACTTAATAAGAAAGACATATTGTGCTGTACCTAGACAGTAAGTATAGTTAGAAATCGCGTGTCTACGTGCAAGACGTGCTTGGGTAGGAAACAACTCCTTCTCCCCCTAAAAATGGATTTTTGAGAAAGCTATCGATAACGCCACATGTTTTCCATTTTCTGCGCGCATTTTCGTTTGACATGAGAAGAGTTTTTCAGTATTCACCTCAAGAAGAGCTGGAGTTGTCCGAGGTGAACCTTGAGCCGGAGATTGAAATCGAAGAAGACACTTTACTCAGTGGATACGATACAAATATGTCGCTTGAGCCATCTCTACTTTTGGATGCGTTCAATAACTATGCCATGGAGGTAATGGGCTGTAATCAAACATGTTTTCTTTCAAAATTGATCTAATCTTTTGCAGTGCCTTCCGTACGACTTCATGAGTGACCTCGAATCAAAAAGTAATATAACTGTCAAGGGATAGCATTGTGTGTGCCTTCATTTTGATGAGGCCATATATTGTGCCTTTCGATAGGTGCGCAGTGTCGTCGCCGGATGACCGCAGCGCCGTAGATTGTGCTCCGCAGATTCGTTATAGAGCTGTTTTTGTTAGGATAATGTTAAGAGTTTCTAGATGAAAGTTTTATTGGTCATGTTCGTTCTCGTGAAAGTGTTTACAAAAATGTGAGTACAAGAAGTTCTCCGCGGCCCTTTCGCCCTGACCCTGGGGCAGTTTTTCTAGCCGCGTTTTCCAATTGTGGCACACGTTAGGGGTGGGATTCCTAATGGGATGCTGGAGCAAGCCATATAATTGAAGAAGTTCATGGGCAGTATTACTAAGGTCAGGTGGACTGTACTATAGGTCAGATTTCATCAGCTAATATAACCTTTTTGCCAGGAATGCTGACAGGGAAGTCCGCCAACTTACCATGGAACTTTGAATGGAGACCTGGGTAGATCGATAGAGTCTATAAGGTTATTTACAATATAGATAGCAAAACTGCAACCTGCATTTCACAAGCAACTTATGAGCAGGTAAATGGTGCAGTAGGGTGGAGGCTTGGTGGTGAGCTGTGAAGCATAAGCGAGGAATCGCATACGTCGAATCGAGTCGTGGTGGTTCAGTGGTAAGGTTCGACGTTCGACGACTCGATTCGACGTATGCAATTCCTCGCTTATGCAGCCTCAAGCCCACACCAAGCCTGCACCCTTACAAACTTTACCTGCTCATAAGTTGCTTGTGAAATGCAGGTTGCAGTTTGCTATCTATATTTGTAAATAACCTTATAGACTATCGATCTACCCAGGTCTCCATTCAAAGTTCCATGGTAAGTTGGCGGACTTCCCTGGTGAGTTATGAGCAAGAGAGGTGATACCAAGCAGTACTCAAATCTGTATACGCTTACTGGCCTAGTGTACTAACCACCAGGGTCTTCTTCCACCCTTTCGGTTATGGGTCACATCAGACCTTTACAGAAAATTTTCCTAGCGCGAGGGAAGTTTTTCTGGTCGTTAAGTTTTCACGATATTTCCAGTCACGTCACGATACTGTAAGATGGAGTGAAAATCGTCGCTGAGTTATGGGCAAAAGGTTTGGGGCACACATCTCATGCTTACCCGGTTGCTGTGCTAACCTCAACCTTAACGAGTTGTTTCTCTTTTCATATGTGTTGGTTGGATTAGGATAGTACCAACGACGTAGCTCCACAATGTCTTAACTACCCTCTTCTCATAAGGGGCGGAGCGTCCTTTTTTGTGCTGCAAGAACCCCATTCACAAATGTTTTTCTTGCTTCTCACTAGACCGGTGGTAATGACCCAGTGGATACTGGCATTGGTTCTGAACAATGCTCTCAAATCTGTGGTTCTACCAATCCGTACTGCAGGAGTACCTGGGTCGAACTATTCCGCATTCGCATAAAATGGCCACAGTCGCAAACGGTGAGTTTGTATCATTTTTGCGACTCGAAAGCGCATGGCACTCCTCTTACGCCAGTGACGTACGCTCAAAATCCCTGAGATGAGGTAGGTGTGGCTGCGTACTTAAAGTGAAGTGAAAGCAGCAGCGAAAAGTTTTTCGTGAGATGTTTGATTTTGGAAGTTGTAATCGCGTCTTTGTCTAACACAGAACAAGGTGACAGCTGTGTCAAAATCAAATATATCACTAGTAAACCATCCTATGCCGTGCTGAAACGCCACGCCTACTCCATCCTAGGGATAATGAGGTGTACACGCTCGCTGTCAGCGATCTCGCTTCTCTGTGTGCTCCCTGTCCCTTCGTCGTATGCGCTCTCTCTAGTGGATGAACACATCGAGATAACGAATGTTTTGAAGTCGAAAGAATTCCAAAAAAAAATGATCGGAACGCTTTATAGGTGTTGGTAAGATCGCGTCAGAGATTGTGAGCGAAAATAGAAGTAAATCTAAGATTTTTTTCGTTAGTGGAAAGCATTCTTTTACTAAGTAATTGTCATTTTTAGTACTCATCATCTTGATCGTCCATAATCGCTTCGTTCGATATCTGCAACTAATAATAATCAGAAGAGGCTTGTCATAGTGAGATCAGCTACCTCTTCATAGTCCTTTTCTAGTGCTGCCAAATCTTCACGAGCTTCATAGAACTCCCCTTCTTCCATGCCTTCGCCTAGATACCTGAAGGAGTAACCACAAAGGTTCTCAAACAGGCTGACTGGACGAGCTTGGCAACTTCTCCGTAAAGGGTCAAGGGGCCCCAGGCGACCGGCCCGCGTAAACGCCACGTTCCGTGTTCTTCTGAGGGTAGCACCAAGACAGTTCGCTCCACGGCACGTC